TAAAGAAGCGGTTTTAATTTCACTCAACGGGATAAAACGGCGAGTAAATCAAAATCAAAAATTCTTCAGAAAATTAATGACTTATAGCAGTTGAAAAAGGTCTAGTCTTCACATATGAAGGACTCCTCTTTCTCAGATTCGACTCGACTAGCCAACGCCCCTACACCTCCCGCTTTGGTCTTCAGTCTGAGAGGGTGGATCTACCTCGTGACCTGCAGATCGGAAACTTTGAGCCAAGTACTTTCTGCCTAGTCACATCTTCAACGAAGGACACGAGTGGGCTCCACACAAATGCAAATGCTTTCATCGTTGCCAAGCTTGCCAAAAAAGTATCAACGCTCAAGGGACCTGCAGAATTGAATGATCTAAATGAAAAAAAAAACAATTTAACAAGGCGACAGGTATAGTCAACAAAACAACTTTTAAAAGGAAAAATCCAATTTTAAGCGAACGGTAGTTAAGATGGAAGGGAGTCCATTCGTGAATTTTTGGTCCTCTAGCAGAAAATAATCTGTTCATGGGATTTGTAACTCACACAGATCGTGCAATTCGCTTCTCCCTCCACTTCCTTTTCCCAGAGGACTGAAAGGATATTTTTTTTGCAGGAAATGCTCCATGCTAGACATAGAAAGTGATTACTTTTGTGTTTTTTTTTGGTTAATGTAGTCGTTTTGTCCGCTATTTGTGCAATAAATAGGATGGGCAATCAAACTTACAGGTAGTGGCAGCGTCCGCAAAATCTGAGTTTGTGCCTCATTGTAATTGCGCACGACTAAACTTTAGCCACGAATTGTGCTAAAAGCACTTCATAAAGTTGGACTTGTGAAGTCTATCGTAAAATATGCCAAGTCCTTAAGCTATGCTAGTAATATTATTATAGCATGGAGAGTATGAAGTGTGTGTTTAGGACTACTCCACTGAGTTTTCCTGCTTAGCTCGCAATTCAGTTTCACAATACCGTTGTCTTTGCTCCTTTTGCGATAGTATTTTAGGGGAGAGCTTTCCCCACGCCTTAGTAATAATGCTAACAGACAAACAGTGTCATTTCGTGGTTATTAGAACCTAGTGAGGATAAAGTCGGCTCAGTTTTCAGTGTCACTCGGTAATAACGCCTTGTTGCTGCGCTGACACTTGTGGTTTCCTAATTTTGAACTTTCATTCCTTTTCCTTCCACCGAACACAATCCGATAAGATTTAACACGGTTCTAAGAATTAGGCTAATCAATCCATTAAACTAGGCATTGTTCTATGCTAGCAGTAAGCTTCATTCTCTCCCACGAGAAAAAGTTTAGCCAAAATTAACATGAAGTGAAGACAGTTTTTATGCGCCTTTGTTAACTATAAAGTTGCCAATGCCACAGGCAGAGAGGACCATTGAATGGGTGCATTTGTAACAGCTGAATGATGTGTCGCTATGTGCTTTCTTCAATCATTTCTCACGCGCTCTGCAGACTGCTTAGTCAGCCATGCCTTTCTTGCTAAAGGCCAAAGAATTAAAGCAAATGGCTATTTCGCGGGCGAAAGATGCACAAATAGAAAGGCACTGCGGAGGAGGTGAAAGGATGGGCAAACCCTCATGCCTTATTTTATAAGACTTACCTTAGGGGTTGTTCAACTGAACACTGACAACTTGCCTTGGAGGCATTGTATAATTGATGCCAATGGATAAGTACAACTTCCGTGTGTTTTTTTCCTCTAGAGCAAAAGCCGCCCTAAAATACTTCTAGTGCTTGGCAGGCGTGTCCCTTGTTGAGGAAACTTTATGAATGAAGCATATTTGAAACATTCAACTACTATGCAAAATGAACAAAAGACACTTAATAGCCGTATTTATCGGTGAAATTGCACAGATAAAACACAACAAATGGTAGTTTGACCTGCAATTAAAATGGGCGTTAGCCGAGGCAAGAAAACTAGGCAGGCTCCAAGCTACTCATAATTTTTCTTACAACGAGGATTCTTATGCAGTATAGATGTGCCTACTTGCTGACATGTTTTCGGGTGATGCATATCTCTGTGAAGAATTCGATGCTCGGGACAAAGTGGTTAGTTTTGAGTTATGTACCAGAGAGTGGAAGTGCTGGCATGACTTGGCGGGGCTTTTAAGTGGCTCCCTACCATGAACCATAGCTTATTAGGAATGCCTATTACAAGAGCACAATTGTAAAACATGGAGGTCCAAGAACTGATCGCATTAGGTGTTTTTTTAACTTTTTTGCCTTTACTTTGTGGCATGGTCATAGGAGGTATAAATGTGTTGAGCATTTTCTACTTCCACTTTTGAGCCAATGAAATCAACGAGACAGCAGGTTTGACCTTGAAACGACCACAAATCTTATTTGTCCGCAAAGATGAACGCGCTGGAGATTTCTTATCCCTCACGAAATCCTGCACCAGCTCACAACGTATGAGGATCATTTAGAGGTACAGCAGTGAAGAGAACGAAGTTCGTTTTACTGTTTAAGATGGAAATTTGTCATAAACCTCGCCAAGTCTTGTTAGTTTTGCTCCAGCAGCGCAAGAAGGCTCAACACTACCGTTCTAACGCCTAAGTATTTTGGCTTAACACAGTAAATCATCCTCAGTGAAGCACACTTAAGAGGCCTCGTGACTGTCGTAGATGACTTGCACGTGGGCGTTTGATCAACAGGTTACCTTGATTAACATAAACTTTAGTGCTTTTAAATGACAATTGATATCTTTCTATCAAATTAGACATGATAAACAATTCGACCCTAAATGTGACGTAAAGGAATATGCCAAAGGTAAATCTATCTTTTGGGATTGCTGAAAATGATTGCTACTGTTCTAACAAACTCCGTTGCGTCTGCATTTTAAAAAATAGAAGCCTTGCTAAACGCTCCCTTTGCAAAACCATTTCAGTGTGGCTGCAAAAATTTGCATCATTTTTATGTACGAGGTGATTTGGCGGCGAAAGACCTTAGATTGATCTTATCTACCAGGGTGTGCAAATTTTACCAAAATGAAGGCTCATTTACAAAAGGTTGTGCGCTATTACCAAATTCTCATACCTTTTTGTGTAGCTATAAAATTTAATATTGAGCCGAGCACCGATTATCTCACTCACTACTGTGGCAATGCGCGAGTCTTTTGAGGGTGCACTTAACCAACTCCGAGTTGGGAGAAAGCTCAACCGTATCTCCTTCATTCGACTCGAGTGATTCCAAGTAAAGAAAATTATTTAGATGAGAAACTTACTATATCCGAATGTCATAAAAGTCATTCTTTGCGTAAGCTTCTAACCTCCATCCTCCTATAAAATGCTGTGTTGAGTTCCACGAATTTCTTTGTTTATAAATAGTTCATTAGTAGCATGACACTCTGATAGAAACCACTCAAGTAGAATATTGCGGCGGTGACTAGGCGCGTGAGCTCCTACAAGGACACTGTAGCCACGCCTCCTGCGTGGGCGAGACTGCAGCACCTCAAAGCGACATGAAACAACCTGACGCATTGATGTTGATTGCCTTATGATCAAACTGACCAAGGTCTAGGAGACTCTATCTCTCACTGTCAGGCGCTAAATTAAAACCGACTCCGATATTTCCGCACAGTGGCTATTCGGTGGACCTGATTACTTCGGAACTATCCTGAATGTTCTCCCTAGTCCCCCATTAAAAACTTTTCAGTCACGTGGTAGAATGTCTTGGTCTTAACAACAAAGGTATACAGACAAGTAGTTGTGCTTTCGACCGATCAGTTGGAGAGAAAAGAACTAATTTTCATCATTTATGATAGATTCCATATTCCTCAGCTCAACGGTGAAAGCTGAATTTTGAAGTGGATGCATATTTTCACAATCCATGAGACAGGAGTTTACAATTGCACCAAACAATTTTTGAACGAAATTGGTAGCTGCTGGATACATTTTCAGCATGGTACTGGAGAAGAGTCCCTCAAATCATCCACATTCACAAAGTAATGCCAGTATCATCACGACACAGCTTGGCACACCTATAGTCTGCGTAGGTGCGAGGCGCTTATTCAGCCGTCGACATTCGAATTTTGGCAAATGAGATTAGGGCAGACTCTTCGGACCACCTTGAAACCATTACAATAACCCCCTCGCCTTGACAGTTGGAAAAGAAATCTTAGACATCTTGCAAAACAATTGTCATAGCTATGTTGCAAATTCATTTAATCAGACTCGCAGTTTCCAACAGTGTCGTGACATGGGCTTAGCTTATGCGGGATGCCGTAGCAAACATCTTAAGACGCTCTCATCCTGTACTATCTGGACATAACCGTTAAGAGTCATTAGTTGTGCTGGCACCTGGTTTCAGACACAGAATTGCATAGCTCATAGGTCAGTGCTATAAAAGGATTGGAGTTGCTTGAAGTATCTGACCGCGATTGACTAGAAAACCGAGAATTTTGGCTTGAAACGGAGTAAGCATACGTTACAGAACTAAAGGATTGACAAAAATTATGCATCTGTCCATTGCTTTTGAAGAAGATATGCAAGTCTGAAGAGTAAGGAGATCTCATGTGGTCTAATTTCGGACTAGTAACCTCCTAAACTTGGTCCTGTTATCAAGCGACCGCCATTATGGCTTAGCAGATCCCTCCTCACTTCCTCCGACAGTTTCTGACTCATCCCGAGAATGCATCGGGGGTAAAATATGCACCCAAGTCCCGAAGGTTTATTCCAGTTAGCTTGAAAACTTTAAAGCATCTCTTGTTCCGGTGAGTACTATCCCCAAGTCCTTCTCGCAATTGAACATTTCAAAACAGATAGTATTCATAAAATAGGTATCTATTTAACAACATACTGTACAAAATGACCATTAGCAAAAGGACTGATGGCCAAAAACCGGTGTGGGTGTCTACGTTAACGTATTGGACACTCAGAGAAGAGAGATGAATTGAGAGAGAAAACAGCGATAACTGAATACTGCCAAAATCCTGTAAGAGAGGAAAAACAATGCTTAAATTAACGTCGGCGAAAACCCAGAGGAACAAATCGAACTAAGCTTACATTACGAGGCCGCAACTTGCTGGCGCTCATCATCCAATGTGAGTGCAATATCATCCTTAAGGAATTCAAATAATTTCTCATAAGCCTCCTCGACGTCATCATTCACAATGTGTGCATCGTAGATCAGTTTGCCCTGTGAGCTGTTGGCGAATTCCATATCAACTTTGGCTTGTCGAAGGCGAGAAATAATCTTTTCCTCGGTCTCTGTACCTCGATCACGCAGCCGGCTTTCCAAAACCTCTATCGACGGTGGACCGATGAAAATGAAACGCGCGTTTAATGGTGGCTGAGCGGCATAAATGCTACGGACGCCGTTGGCATCCACGTCCAAAATGCAAATTCGACCACTTTCTAGGACCTAGAAATGAAAGTTGGTAGAAATTAGAAAAGCACATGAAATTAGCTTACTCAATTGGACTGTGGCTCACAATGACACAATGCACACACGTAAAAAGCAAAAGCTGAGTCTGAATTTAGAGCGACAAAAGATGCCAGTAGCGTACATGATACGGGGTATTCCACGAAGAGAACAGAGAACAAAAATTGGGTCGCACTCCAGAAATGAGAAATCGTAACCACTGCTGAGTGGGTCTGGCAAAATAGCGGGGAAGAGTGTGGTCAAACGAGGAACGCGTGCATGGCTGGTGAAAAAGAAGGATAGGGCAAGTCCAGACTCTCGGTTAAAAGGAAACATATAATAGGCAAAGCATTAAGGAAGCACACGAAAAAGCGAACGATTACGATACATTTTCGTGTGTACAAAAAAATACATTAATACACATGACTTACAGAAGTTACTGCCTCACGCGGAGTCCCGTAGTAATTGCCTGCAAACTGAGAGTATTCTAAGAACTTGCCATCAGCAATGTCCTTCAGCATCTCTTCTTCTGAAACAAAGTTATATTCTCTGCCATGAATTTCGCCTGGTCTGGGTTTGCGTGAGGTGTGCGAGACACTGAATGCAAAGCTTTGTGGAAAGTTTTCCATGAGCATCTTGAGAAGAGTACTTTTGCCAGCTCCTGATGGACCACTGAGTACAACGGGCCGAAGACCTGCCATCGTGAAGATTGAGAAGCTCACCCCCGCAAACCCGACGGTGGCGCAAAAGTGAAGGTCGAGAGATGATTGGCAATTTTCCAAGCTAATCAGTGTTGAAGAAGCTCCATCAATATCATTGCTAGTGATTTTAACACGTTCAATCTATTAAGAAAAATGCTGTTAAAGTCAAACAGAACTGCAGTCGCTTAAATGTTTTATTTAAATGCCCATTATTTAGATGACTGTTACGTAAGGAAGGAGGTATTGTTTCGCGTATGCAGAAAACACAACAGGACTAAAATATATGAACAAGTTTTTGACACTTTTACAGTATTCATGTTTGTAATTAGTTCCTTTACGTGGGAGTGGAAGGACGAGATAATTCTGAGTCTCGTACCATTGTATATGTAATATTTTGGAACACGCTTACCTGATCTCAGATCGAAACATGTTCAAAGCTGCTGTAAGGAAAGAGAGGGAATATTAGCTCTGTAGTTGGTGGCCCTGTTAAATTGTGAGCTTCAGAAGTCACGCGCTGCCCAGCATCGGTTTTCGCTCTTGTAATATATACCAATGTGTTTAAGCTTATCTCGATAAGGGCAAGCAGAAAAAGCAATTCGTACATGATTCTAGTTTGCGTAGAGCATGAAGTGACGTCCTCAGGCTGACACTGGTTTTACGTCTCATCGATTCTCTTCCAATTTTCTTTCTTTCTACTAAAACTTCTTCAACTAGGCACCAGTAGATTGTGCAGTAGTAGGAGACTCCTGTGTATAACTTTTTCTGGGTGGCCTGGAGAATAGCCCCTCCTTTAAAATCGATGCCATCTTTGATAAAACGAACACCCGATGGGTAGTTTTGTCATTTTTTCTCTCTATGCTAAGTCTGCTACTAGGCATTCGGTTGTTTTGGAGCAGTTTGCTTAGCCATGAACCCATGGTAACTTATTATGATGTCAGAGGAGTCGTCCGAATCCTCCGGAACTAAGGTAACGTTTAGCTTTCGCTAAAAGTTCCCTTCCACACTCAAGATTATCGTTCCAAACAATTTACCCATTTCATCGGTTCATTACTTTTGTATCGCCCCAAGACTTGCCACCAGGTAGAAGAAGGCATCACGTTGGACAATACTTATGTATCCTACGGTAAGAAGGGATACGGCCTTGAGAGCCTAAGCATACAAGGGCTGGACGAATAACAAAGTAACCATCAGACATCAGGTGGCTACATAAATATAGCACAACTTTTCTGTACTGACTACAACGTTGACCCCAAGGGGAACTGGGACAGATCCTTGCCTCCGCAGTGTCAAAATAAGATAAAGCCGCAAAGAGGAGCTACGCTTCTAGCGCAAAGGATGAAAAACTAAAACCACTATAGTGGCCCAAATCGCATATACAATGAGCAACGAACTTGAAAGAACACGCCACTTGAAGCACGAAATCAATCCGTGTCGTAAGAATTAATTCATGTTGTCTCTGCACAAGTTGGCGACAGAGAAACGTGCACTGAGCCACATTTTACATTTTATCGACGGACGGAAATAATTAGAACGATCGTCCATGAGAACATTTCCTCTTTGAACTAGCTTGGCATATTTAAACAAGTTTAAGTTTCAGGATGAGAATCCAAACATTGCGAGGAAAAAACATCCCACAGTAAAGCATAACCTCCGACCCACAGTGCGAATTGTAGCCATAAAAGCATTGTCATTTCGCGACATTATCTTTTTATAATATGTCAATAGGCTAAAGCATTCATACATGCAGACAGGATTGCACTACACTTCCCGGACGATCCAGAGTCCGCTTACAAGATCTTTTGGTGCAAGTACAAAAACTGTTATAGGAACAAACAGACGCAGTTGGTATGACCGAAGCTGTAATCAAACTTGGAAGGGAAGGGACGTGACAATGCAAGTGTAAAACCAAACGCAGTAGCGATGGACCTAGTGAAGGTTCCGGAGAAAGCTGTGGTAGAGGGTGAAGGCGGGTAGCGGTTTGTCCGCGGGTACCATATGGCCCGCACCACGCACCGTCGAGAAGGTGAGAGTGGTATTGGAGGCCTCCACCAAGAAGCTCTTTGTGTAGCCTCCAATCTGCCTAGTACCGTCCGTAGCGTTAAAAAACCAAGGGTGCCGTGGGACTTTTAGCTTAAAATGAAAGACACGTGTTTTAAAATAAACAAACGTTGGTTTTGAAACAAAAGTAGATTTATTTACTGCACCAGTCAACAGTGAGGTATTTGAAGGATAAATCCAGTGAGGCAGTGAAACGCTTGCTGTATGCATTTTGGGCCTACAGACGATGTAAAAGTACGACAATTGGTGCTTGAAAAGGTTCCAAAGAGCACGATTCTCCGAAAAACACTCAACACGATTTAGCTCAGGAAGTGATAAAATGCTAACAGGCTTTACTAAGCTGATAAGTGAAGCTACAAATGCTCGATGAGTGAAAGGCAATATTTTGAAGAGAAGGAAAAGGGATTGGCAACTTAGGGTAAAACTCACAGGTATTCCCAGATCATTGACAAACCATTCGTCACCAATAGAGTTGCAAGCCATGTCAACGTCGCCATTGAAAATGTGAGTTCGAATCTGTAGGGGGAAGCATTCGCAACTTATTTTCATCGAAGAAAATTAGTAAAACATTTTAAGTTACATCACAATAGCATTTAAAAAGCGATATTAAACCAATATCAAAGGACAAAGGACTAGTTAGTACCACGATCTGCAAGTAAAAGCTAACTCAAAGCCCTTTTTTTCCCCAGTGACGCCCAAGAGGTACGAGAAGCGATAGTAAAAGGACACATGACGATGAGAATAAGGAATAATGGCTGTTTGCTCTCTCCTGTCAAAAGTCTTGAGGCATATTCTAAACGAGTTTGCACCAAGTTCACAGCCAGGTTTAAAATCAGGCATCAAGCAAATCAAAAGGACGAGTTTAGGAGTCAACCCATTAAAATCTCCTATTATTTCACAATAGGCAACTTATCAAAGCACTGCTTTGTTTGCGCTATAAGACTAGAAGAACAATCTTGTCCCCACAGATTCCTCATTAAGTCACAACGTGGTTTGTTAGCATTTAACAAAGAGTGTGAAACAACACAAGGCTAGTAAGACATACCCCCTTGTCCAACAACGTTCGGTACTGTTCACTTAAATCTAAGTAGACACGTTTATATTGAGTGTAGACCTCGTTGTCGCAGGCTGACCACTCCTGGACGCTCGTGGGGATGTTAAGAGCTGAACGAACTTGCGGTAGGTTGAAGTACTCCGTCAGAATGGAGTCATCCGAGCACGAAATCACCAGCCTACTGGAGACGGGAAGCAGAATCCAAGATGAAGCCTAGACATTTATTTCGGGTCAGCGATGGTTAGCAACCGGTAAACTGTACAGTAAGTTGCTCATAATTCCAACAAATTCCTTTCATGGAAATTTTAGACGGTTTTTGCATAAGAGCTAAAGCAGACGTCACCAATTCAAACCCCATCAAAAGCAAGTAGTTATTCTGGCAAAAGAAATGGAAGTAGCGAGAAATACATTAGTTCGAGCAAAGCGGATGAAACCGCCTTTCATTGACTCAAATCCGTTAAATATTGTAAACCCACAGATTCAAATAACGCACTCATTGAGAAAAGTTTCACCGTGTTTCGTTAGAGATCTGAATAAGTTGCCCCTATCCGCCTGCTCCCGAGAAATCCCACCCGACTGACGTGGTTTTACAGGACCATGAGGAAAAGCGTGCATTCTGCATGAAACAAAAAGGAGAAAAGATTTATACAGTCTCAATTTAGTCAAAATTGCTCTGTCCATGTCAAACGACCTTCGTAGCCACTGATCGTATCTCCGGTTGAATCTGGTAAAGATGTCGCGCCAAGAGAACAAGCGGTTGTAAGTTGGAACCTTCTTCACAACCTTCAAGGAGCCATTTTCGGGAACACCACCATCACAAGGAGCGTAGAGATTGTACACATTCAATCCATATGAAAGGATACTGTTTGCACTTTTCACCTGTTATTTGTGTAACAACTATTAATTTCTTTGCTGGCTTAACAAGCAGAGGATTTCACCAGTCACACTTACGGCGTCCTGACATCTAGGCGAACGATTCAAAGTGAACATGCAGCGACCAACCAGCTTACCACCGCAGCAATAATTCACAAGATCTGCCCAAAGACTAAAATTAAAACAATGAAACCTGTTCAACACCTTGGTTAATTTTAAAACGTAAGCTATACATAAAACATCGAAGTTCGTTTTGGACTTGATTAGATTTAAGTAACCCAGCATGTGAAGCCAAAATAAGGGAAATTATCTTCTCTGAGTACTTTCGCACCTCGCGTCGATGAGTGAATGATAGTAGGCGAAGTAGAGGAGTGAGTTATCGTTCAAGGTGTAACTAGTGAGTCCATTGTCCACTGCGATACCCTGCAAGAAATCACAACGAACACTGATTAAATAATGGAGTGGAATTCAAAAACTTCTCCGTTATCTATTTTTATCACAGATTGTAGGTTCAACTTCTGGTTTGCTTGAAGGGGTCTTGACACTTCTCCTCGTGCCAAATTGAAAACACTTCCGGAGACCAATGATGGAGACGCTAACTAACCGGAAACAGTATGTGAGAGGAGATGAGAAATGGCTCCGATATCAGCCGTAAAAATGCATCACCATCATCTCTGTTCGGTGAAATTATGCACGATAGCCGATGAAAATAACTAACAACTCCCCATCAACAATGCTGACAAAGGCAAACGAGCTAGTTCAGGTAATTTGTAGCAAGGAAAGCTCTCCAGAAACATCCTGACAATAATAATCACGACTTTCTATGGCTCCGCAACAAGTGGAAATCCGCGCGACACGAGGTCAGACTCCATTGTTACCTCGTAAGGACGATGACTAAATCGACCATCAATTTTGACACCTTTTGGATAGCAAGGTATTGCAATGGGAATGCATAAATCGACTATTGTAACATAGAACAAACCTTGAGCTCCATTTCAGGGTGGTCGGCAACACGAAGAGCCAAAGTGGGCACGTAGACTCCGCCATAACTCTCTCCAATTATGTAGAAGTCACGACCCTTGAATTCGGGAAACTTCTCAAAGAAGTTGGTCAAAGCAAAGTAATTATTGTCGGCAACCTTGAAAAATAATTTTCAAAAGATTAAGTGCTGGTACCTTCGTTGTGCAGTTGTGTAAGAAAAAGTTGCTCCCTGAAGGGCACTGGCACGATGACTGATTGTTCAACAAGCAATGCTATTGCTGCTCCGCTATACTTTCTGAGGCATAATTCCAAGCGCAAACATTGGCCTTTCAAACTAAACTATATAGTTAAAAAGAACCTACAAATACGAGACTCGAGAACTTAACAAATAAATAATTGTGCTGGGGAGTGTTGGGCACATGCGCTAATGGGTCGAGATAAACTATCCACCCAATGCAAACAATAAACAGAACGACGCTAAAAAGGTTAACTGGTTTACACACTCATACCTTTCTGAAAAGTGAGCGAGATTAGCTAAATGTATAAAACCTGGGAGTTCCCATCCAGTACATTTCAAAGAGACTTTAAAAAGGAGTTTCGTAAATGCACACTACCCATAAGCACGCTACGTTGAATGAAGTTGGCATAAAATTTTGTTCAGAAAAGTGAAAAATCGTGTAAACTTGAGGAATGGTAACTAAAGTTCAACGTCTTTTTTGCGCTAAGACATTTGATTAGGGTTTTATGCACTGAGTAAATATTATCTAACCTACGTACCAAATCATCATCCGTCGTAACGTTGCCGTCGTATGAAAACGAAAATCCTACCCCGGCTGGAGCTTCAAGATAGACAACGTTGGCATACTGAAAGCAAATTCAGAGTAAAAGGCGGTGTTTTTATGAAATCTTACAGCACTATCCTTCGATGGCACAGTATAGTGGCAGTGAATGAAAATGAGGAAGATGGTGCCTCTAGGGGAAATTTGGGTCAAAACTTGAATTCAAGGTAGACGTCAGATGTTCCAGCTTAGTCTTGTACAATAATGAACTGATAAGTTGGAAGGTAACAAAAGACAATGTGCGTGTGGATAATACCATAAACAACTGAACAACTAATCAAACGTGAACACGATCATTAGCATCCATACGGACATATGATCCGTTAAAGCATAGCTTATTGAAATACATATGTTTACATTTGACATTTCAGCTCTAATGGCAACCAAGATGAGTCTATATATATTTGCTTTCTCAGTTAACTGGCAGAAAGTGATGCAAAGCCCCAAAACCGGTGTTGACTCAAGTTCAGTTAGCTAAGGCTAGTTTTCATCGTTCGAATTGTCATACTGACATTTTGGAAGCGCGACTCCAAGATCCAACATCACATGGTAACAGTAAGTGAAGGATTCACCAACCTTGTTCCATGAATACTTATTTGGTTTGAGTTGGTTCCCTTTGCGAACCTAAAAAGGAAATACCGCTTTGATTCGGTAAAAATAGAGGTAGAAATAGCGAAAGAAGTTTGCACTAAAGTTGTTCGATGTAGTAAACAGTACGGTACCCAACAGGCAGACAAATATTATTCGTTGCAGAGAGACAGGTAAAGAAAGAATAAAGAATCTCTTGATAAAGATAGTCCAGACACAGGTAGATGTTTGAATCCATGAGCACAATGAAACCCAAGTGTCATTCGAAGAAGCGCCAAAATTACGACTGTTTGAACATGCTGGGCCCATTGTACAACAGCCAACATTTGAAATGGATTTACTGTTTCATAGTTGAACCACTGTTAAAGTGTGATCGACTGCACGATGACAGAAAAGTCTCCGCGCTTCAGTGAATGAAAGGTCTTATAGCTAGCTATAAAATGGGGAGCCAAAACTTTATCATCAAAAGCAACAAATCCATAAGATACAACTTGAATAAAAAGGAATGCTTTGGGTAAAATAAAGATGCATTTCAAGAAATTAAGGGCCAGTAGATCAAACATCATTCTAGGTGGAAAGTGGAAACTAGATATAAGATATTCGTGAAAAAGTCTGATAAAGTACTTGGTGGAAGAATCAGCAACAAGATTTCCCAAGCAATAAATTTAATTTTTAGGGAATGGACAGAGCAATCACCAATGAGTCGGTAGCTAGGAATGCTGAGAGAAAAACAAAACGTTCGCATCCACAGATCCTTCATGTCAAATCTTAGTTAACAACTAACTTCTGCCCGAATCGAATTGAAAAAAAGCACCTAAAAAGTGTGGGACTCACATGAAAAGGCCCATTTTCAGAGAACATGCCCAAAAGAGAGGAGCAGCCAGGACCCCCATTGAGCCAGAGAACGAGGGGTGCGATAGCAGAATCATTGGCCGCTTCGACAAAAATATAGTGCAATTGGATATTGGGAGATGCACCCTGTAGGTAACCCGAATACATCTCAAAGGTGAGGGAGCTATTGGATCCAGGCAGATGTGTGACTAGATCAGCACTTGGACGACCCCATATCCGTGTCAAAGTCAAGAGTAGTGGAAGCAATAAGCTCGAGTATCCCATTGTTCACCTGAAATAAAGACATATCGCTTCAGAAATGCTGGTAGCGTTGGAGAAGATGAAATGAAATAAGTTATGGTAATATACGTCGGCGATTTTTGCTGGTGAACCACATTTTGGAATGCACAAGCCCGACATACCCTCAGCAGCATAAGAACTTAAATTAATCTGTTTACTAATTAAAAAACTTAATTACCAATTTCGAAGTAGTTTTACCATTGAAATAATCTATGAAGCCACAAAAAAATTGTTAGATACACTACCGCCGACCTGCAATGGGACTCATGTTCGACAAAGAGGCAATGGCCAAAGTGATCGATACCTCTTAACGCCAATTAGACAGACTTAAGCAGTCAACACTCGCACCTGGTGAAACGTTTGTAACTCACTTATGTGTTTACACAACTGCCCAGAAATGAGAATGGGCGATTGTAAGACTAGCGAAATGAGTGCGATACTAAATTCTCCTTTGAGAACTACATTGTTGGACGATGAAGGCATTTTCAATTGGACCACCTTTATTATGCTGCATCAGTTTCTTGAGAATCCAAAATTGTCTATCATTCCACAGGGCTGTCAAAATATCCACAGATTCAATGCTCACCAAAAGATCACAACTTGGTTCCAACTCAACGACTATAAAAAATAGGTACTCCAAGTGAAAAACCTGCATGAAATTTTAAAATAATCGCATGTCCTCCACCTTTACTGACCTAAATATACAAGCACGGGGTCAAATTTTAGCAAAAAAGGATGAAGAAGAGCTTAAAAATGAAGTCAGATGAATAACCTGCCTTCTGTTAAGGCTATCTCGGCTAAAGACAAAACAAACTTATACTAACACCCAAGATATATTGACACATACCTACACAGTCTGGTGCACTTTTCAAGTAATTAAAAAGCCCGCTGGAAGGGATAAACAAAGCCCTGTACCAACCAATTAACGCTCAGATGGCAGCGATTGGTCGGCTTTTTCAGTTAGTTCACTCTAGCACTGAAACTAAAACGGTCTTACCTTTATGACATAAGTAGAACTTCTTGCTAAAGACAAATTGTGGCAAATTAGTAAATGGCGGTTACATGTTGCCTTCAAAGCTTTTTTTTTGCATTTACTTAGAAGAATACAACTTATCAGAAGGGAGGAGGCACTTTGCTTAAGGGATATGTAGACCAACGAAAAGGCTCTCAGTTCCCACTTGTCCTATCTACTTTACCATCTATTATATGGTGAGTTCTTGGCTAGTAAGATTCGATCCAAGCTTACAATATTTATTGTATTCAGCAAAAATCCATTATGAACTGCCTTAAAAGGATCTGATAAAATTGCTCTTAATGTCTAAAAGGAACCCCGTTGAGCCGAAAGGGCAAGTCTCTTCCCTCTCTGTCGGTTTGGACAAATTTGGTGTTAAAGAGAATTTTCAAATTCACCAACACCGCTTACATTGAACCAGCACGTCCTTCAAGCCAGAGTCTCATAAATATGAAACCGACTTCACAAAAAGCTACACACTTCTTGGGCTAACCTGTGCTACTGTTGTCGGCCTTGTTTACCCAATCATCAATTTGCAGTAATTTGCTTGAGTCATCTAAGTGAGAATGTTTTCAATACTCATCTAAGAATGGGTTGTACTATGATACAAACAGGCGGCATTTTCTCATAATCCCGTCTGAGCTATCACTTTCAAACACAACCATAATCAACCTCCAGGGTCGATAAATTTAATACTTTGTTTATTCAGCTACCTGTACGATGGCCGTCTAGCTTCCGCTGGGTGGACCGGCCTTCAGGCCACGCTGAAATTCCACGTATACTCCTTCTGTGTAAATACAAGTCGTTAGTTAAGCCTTAGCATTTCTATTACGGTTTTGGAAGTATCAGAGCTTACCAGTGTACCATCGGCATTGTACCATATTGCCACAATAAGGAGGTAGATGGTCTTGGGGGCTGTACCACCGAAATGACTCATGTGATCAGTTTATTTGGCTTACATTTGGTAAGACTGCAAACGCCACTTCTTGTGGTAAACACTTTGTATGCATAAACAGAACACCTAAATGAGCCAAGTGGATGTACGCCATTTGGCGTGCTCCATCGGACTTACCGCCGCCTATCGAGCCATTCGCACTCCTCCGCCGTTAAAGGATGCAGTCGCCTTGATTCTGCGCATTCTATTAGCGTCCATTATAAAATCTTTTTTCTCAATTGTTTGTTTAAACTGTGTTTTTCATTTCACAGATGCCAACCCAGAAGGCGGCGTGACTTTGTGCCTCCCCCGGATGACATGATCGTTGGGCCAGCTCAGAAGTATCTGGTCCTTCTCCTTAATTTCCAGAGCCTTCGGTCAGTGTTCCGATACCAAGAATTTGGCATGATATAGACTGCACATAAAAAGTATAAATTTTGGAAAAGTAAGAGAGTAAATATTCCATAAGAGTTGACATCGAAGGAGGAACTTTGATCAAATGTGAACACTCACCTGTTCTAATCATTCTGAAGCTTTTACCCTTGCTTTTTAAAACGTTTTTATAATTCCAATTTGTACTCCAACTACTTTTTTGCCTTCTTTTAATGCTCACTAATGGGGGTCCTATCTCGAACCATTTGGATTGCACTTACGCACTAACATTACTTACACAGTCCTGAATCCTGACAAAGTAGTCCATCATTATGGACAAAAATGTCAGTGCAGCTCTCCGAGACTTCTCTAAGGGCGAAGGAAGTCATGATCCTCGAGCAGAGTATGTGTTATCGATGCATGGTGGGATTTGGGCTACTGACGTGTCTCTGAAGCCAGACTAGCCGACGCAAAGAATGAAGATGAGAACCAAGCAGCGAAACGTACAATGCAGGTCCTATTCCTTGATTAGTCCCATCTCTTTGTTCCATTTTGTTAAACTCCAAACTCAGTTGCTAGGGTGAATTCAATGCTGTATGAAAACATCTGCAAGTTCTCATCCAGTTGGTAAGACAAGTGCTCGCAAAGTCACTGGTTCCTTTAGACAGTTCCACTGGCAAAGGAGTTGGCTTCATGAAGTACGGCAACCGCACCGACTATCATGCTTATCCTTCTTAAGGTGCACAAAATTTGGCCTATGGTACAAACGACGGGGTCGAGCATTGTTTTTATCAAGGATTAAGCTTCGTGCTGTTCCATTTTTCGCCTTGATGTTTGCGCTTTCGGACTACTCACTTAAATTTGGTTGGAAATCACCTTTCTAAAATAGAGGTGAAAATTTACTCATACACCTTTTCAGACTCTCCTTTGTGGCTCATCAGCACCGCATCCATTCTTCCAATATGACTTCTTCCTCCTTACATGACATATAAGTGAAAATTAGGATTCACTTTCCACTATCACCAAACAAGCAAGCCATCGCTATTATGAGAACCAAAGAGGTTTTAGTAATAAGTGAATGAAATTAATGCGTTCGCCACACAATAGACCTCTCGGCCATGCCCGCACCTCCAAAGACCTGAATGTTCAGTATCATTTTTCATAATGGAAGCCTCCAGAGGCTACATTCTCGATGCCAGCTTAACTCGTCTTCAGTGTTCATGTCTCAATTAAATCTTCCAAAGTTGTGTGGATTAATTATTTAGTCATGCTCCCTTCGGCGCGTAGCCATCACCCCGAATCGAACGTCCAGGAGGACTAAACAACTCAACGTTAAACAATGTTTGCAGAGGAAGTGACACTAAAAGTATCATCACTGTTATTTTACAATTGTCTCATCCAACTAGTCGAGTATTGCTGCGTCCACCTAAGCTGCAAATGATTCATGCTAGAAGTTGCATGTCTCAGCCCATTTGCCTCGGTCTGCAAGGAATTCTACTCGAAGGTTGCTTTTTCTGTAAACTTTGTTTCGTAAAATTGGGTCATTTTGGTGTGTTGGCTCCACCTGATCGCGAACTTGCGGAGAACTTGTAAAATCGAACCACGCGAAGGTCTTCAGACAGTCTGACTAGAGCGAAATTGTATGAGGACCATGACATTTAAATTCTCTTTGGTTAAAATTGCTTTTTACTAAAAAATTAGTTTGAATAAAAAAATTGCTAATTAAGTTCCCCTAATCTATTTGACAACTCAAATTCCTACCACCGAAAATTAGTTACGGTGGACAAATTAAGGCAACTCTATCGGTTGTCTGTCTCTCCCATCCTTGCTTGTCTGCTCAACTTTCTTTTCCTTTGCTCCAATTAAATAAAATTCTTGCGCACACTCTCGAAGGGATTCTTCACCCCAATGAGTTAAAACTCTTCGAGAAGCGGTGGAACTGCGCGTGACTAATCACGAGGCAAGTCTGTGAATTATTAGGTTTTTACAAGAATAGATTGGAAGGTTGAGGCTGATTACTTGGTAGACCGTTGTTGTTGAAAAAACCTAAATGTCGCAGTTTAATACTAAGCGTTTGTTTGTGCTTTAGTACTAGTCGTCAGAAACTGCTTACTTTTCTAGTAAACAGCTCATAAATTTCGTTATAATGCAGTCCTTAAAGAAGTAAAATGGGAACTTTGAACAACTAGCCATGAAAATATCACATGATTTCGGTAAAACCAATTTTCGTCGTCCTAAGATTATATAGCTTGCTGCTGTTCTGTAAAACTATGGCTGTATTTTTTACCACCAATTTGGTGCCATAGCACCTCCGCTGAGAAGACTGACCTCTAAGCCACGCCAGCAGCCCCAGCCCTGCTACACGTCAAATATGCGTCTCATGTTCAAGTGAGTGTCTCGTTCGTCGGAAGCAGTCCTGAGCTACAACACCGATTTTAAAGGTTGCATGGCTTCCCCTCTACCACAGTGTTGTAAGCCTTTTCGAGGAGGAAGGAACGGTACGGCGGGCTAAATATGCCGTTCACCTTGGCTCTGTGGCCCACAGGATATCTACTAACAACGGAGGAGCTAATAGTTGCAAATACAAAGCGTTTAAACAAGGATATCAGTAACGCGAAAACGCCATTTTCCCCCGTAAGTCTCTACTAGCTGGACGGAAGTTAAACA